GGAAGAAAGTTTTCATCGCGCGGGGGTGCATGCAGCATTCCTAAAGCCTGCATTGTACCCGTAACGGTGCTCGAGTATAGTACCGGTAGGGTAATTGGTGGAATAGAATGGCTTGCAGACGAGTTTAGCTCTGTTGGGTTGGACATCATAACCGTTGATATGATACGGTACGAATACAGTACTCGAGTGCTGTACAGGACTCTGCAGCACCGGTAGCGAGCGTCGCGTACCGGGATCCGACCAGCGATATGACACGATGCGACGCGATGGGATACGGTACGGTAGGAAGAATTGCGTTTCTAGTGTATAGTAGATCCCCACGCTTTCCCCCCCTTCAACCCCTCCACCCCCTTCCCCAGCCCCGCAGCACAGCACTAATCAATCAATTCGCCCCCCCCCGCCAACTCACTCATTCACTCACTCGCTCGGTTCGCCACGGTTGTAGCAGGTTTCGATCAAGCGGACCCTCCGCTCCTCTCCCGTTCGCCCACCTATCCACTCTAGGCAAACATCGCAACGAGCGTCTGCGGCAGCGCAAACTGTTCAACCCCCCCCCCCCCCCCACTCCACTGCCACAATCGACCCGGAATACGATAACATGGTCACCCAAACCAATACAGCCCGACCCAATGCCCCCTACAACCGCATAATCCGCCTAACGGAGCACAAACCGAACTTGTGCCCTCACGCCCCACCAACAAAAGAGCCTGCACGAGTGATGGGAAACGAAACGGCCAACTCCGGTCCGTATCCTACCGTATCCTCCCCTCCCCCCGGCCTCGTTCGCGCAGGCGCCAAATCCCTCAGTCATGAGGACTCTTTACTTACCTGTCCTCTGCGTCAGATAGATGATAAATAAGGCACCTATAGTATGTGTGTATGTACCAACAGCGCTGTGCTGTGCTGGTGTAAGCCCCAAGTGCTAGGATAATACAAGTCACGAGAAGAGGGAAAGGTGCGGTATCTTCTGCTCGCTTTTCCGGGTGGGTGAATCTGCCGTCGTGTTACGGTGAGGAATATTCTAGAAGGGTGGGTGGGCGGCATGGGGTGTGTGTGAGGGGTGGTGAAGGATGGATGAGATGGATGGGAAAGTGGTGGATGTTTTTGGATCGGGGTGGATTGGATTGGTGGGAGTCACAGGATTGTACCGCGTTGTGTGTGGGATGGACAGGCT